GAGCGGACCCTATGAGATGAGCGGGCCCTACGAGATGAGCGGGCCCCACGGATAACCGAGCCCCACAGGTGAACGGACCCACAGGTTGAACGGGTCCCACAAAGTGAACGAGCCCCACGTGATGAACCTGTCTTACAAAATATATCAACCAGCTCTGCTACCAGTTTGTTAGGACTGGCCCAGGAATAAACAAATTAAAGTTAGAACAAAATAGGCGGTATAACCGACAATATAATGCTTAGACGGTAGACACCAGTCATATAATGCTTAGGCGGTAAAACCGACCATATAAAAGGGTTGTGGCAACCCAATAAAGACAAATAACAAAGCAAAATAAAAGACACGGGCGGAGGAGGAGCAATATTTTACTATGAAAAGATATACAAAAGTGCCTTAGGAAAGTGTTCCTAGGCCCAAAAGACACATAATACTGAAATACAATAGAGCCTAAAGTATTTCTACTACAAAATGTTTAATGACCCAAAGGCCTAAATATCCCACTAATGCTCTCTTGGTTTGGTGTACTTAATCCTATCATAGGACCTTATATTTATAGGTAACAAAGGAAAGAATTTCCTTTGGCTTTCGTCGATGTGGGACGAAGCCACACTAACAAATACCATCTTAACAATGGCCAGTTCAATCTCCCATTGACTCTAAAGAAATTGACTCTGTGAAACTTTCGCCTACCATGGAGTTGTATCTCTGCAATTGGGAGACTGCCAAACCTGGAAGTTCTCAAGTTACTCTCTGGTGCCTTCGAAGGGAAGATATGGGACGTGGAAGAAGAGTTTCAGAATCTTAAGTTCTTGAGCTTAGACAATTCAAACATTGCTCAATGGAATGCCTCTTGTGATGATTTTCCCAAGCTTGAAAGACTTGTCTTACAAAATTGCTATGATCTTGAGGGAATTCAGTTGGATTTTGTGGATACACTTTCACTGCAATTGATTGAAGTGAATTGGTGTGTACGATCTGTAGAAGAGTCGGCCATTAGGATTAGGGACGAAACAGGAGAGGTCAAAGTCGTTATAAAGAGTTCATATTGGAGATCGTGGTCAGCATGATTTTAGATAAAACCTCTTTATACTTCCTCTGATCACTCGTAAGTCTATTCTATGAATTTTCAGCAACCTATCCATTTTCTCCATTCGTTTGTGAGATGAAATTCCTGTTATTTTTATTTACTGGAGTGCATATGCTCGCTGAAAAATATAGATAACTAGAAAATGTTGGGACTCATTGAATGTTATTCTCTACATGCCAGCAGTAATTCGGGTGTTTAGGCTGTCAAACTTTTATGCCAATTTCATAAATAGCCGCTTTCATTTTAACTTCTTATCTAACGTTTAGGCTTGATAAATCACGTTTGATTCTTGTCTTCTAAGACCATTTTTCTTGCCCTTTCCCAGGTCTGTAACTGGCAAGGCTCAATTGAAACTTGAGAGCCCCTGTTCACCACAAGCAAGAACTTTTGGCCAAGCTTTGCCTTACATTGGAGCTTTCCCATTTCATGCTCTGTATTGTGCTTTTGATCTTTGGAACGAATGCGGCAATGTGACTCAATTTGATTACCTGCTTTTTTCCCCCCCTGCTTTTTATCATATAGTGGGTTGTTTATTTTGAATTGGAGAAAGACCAAGCTTGTAGATGTGTTCTGAGAATGTTTGTTTGATGAAATTGAATTACAGTGGCCTTTCATCATCAAGAAATTTCCTTTTTCAATTTATTTTTTGTAATTATACTCACACATACATATACACTTGATCTTGGCAGTAGGGATGATTTTGTTGATTCAATGCAATTTATGAAGGTTTGGAGGATTTATTTGATTGGATATTATTTAGGATAAATTGTCTTTTATCCCCTGTAGTTTAGTGCTTTACCATATAACCCCTTATTATTTAAAATCCTATATATAACCTTCTCATGATTTGAGTTAAAATGTCACCATTAGTTTTTCTATTAAAATTAACGGTCAATGGTTAAAAGTCAAATTCAAACTAATAAATTGACAAATTCATCGTTTCACTGCTTTTTTTCCTTTTTTCCTTTTGTTTCTCTCTCATTTTTTTTTTTTGAAAAAAGAAGAGTTGAATTTGAAAACCTATATTTTGGCCTACAAAAACTTAATTTTCTCGAAATACAAAAGAGATGGAAAGGAAATGAAACAATAATAAAAAATAAAAATGATGGAAGGGAAATATAAAACAAATAAATAAGAAACAAAAAATATGAAATCTTTTTTAACTACAAATATTATTATAGGTGTTTGAACCAAATCTTTAATGATATTTTCTAGTTCTTATTTATCTATTTTTTTATTTCAATTTCTTCTTTTTTATGTTTGGAGGAGAAAAAAAGGTAATGAAATGATAACTTTGTTAATTTATTAGTTTGACGCTGACTCTTTACTATTGGTTGTTAGTTTTAATGGAAAAACTAATATTGGCACCTTAACTCAAACCATGAAGGGGTTATATATAGGTTTTTATATTATAGGGGGGTTTTGTGGTAAATCACCAAACCATAGAGGGTAAAATTTGAATGTGCCATCCTCCTCAATGTATTTTAGCAAAACTCAAAGCATGATCATTAGATTTGAATATTTGCCATAAGAATTAGCTTTTTGTAATTCTGGTAAAAAATAAATATTGCTATGATATTAAAGTATCAACACGAACGAATATCACATTTGAAGTACACTTAGATTACATAGATTCATTGTCTGCCAAAAAAAAAAAAACTTTTTTTTTGAATAAACAGTTTGATACAATAATTCTCAAATTATGATAATCTAAATACAGGTAGACGGTAATCAACATAATAAGAAAGTTAGGAGGGATGTTCTCGTCACCTTCCTATCAGACCATTAACAAACCATCAATGCCTCAATAAGAAAGTTTCTGGGTTCTTAAATTCATTGTTCATATATCGAAAAAAAAGCGAGCAGAAATGTTCGTAATAAAACGTTTCGACTCTAACCATTGCATGGAAATGGGGTAATTTGTGAAAGAAAAAAGGTGTTTAACTAACGACCGACTTCGACTAATGTTATGAAATAAAATAATTTGTAGAACGTTTCTACAAATGGAGGTTGTTAGTTATTTAATAAGCACTTCAAGGCTTATGGAGGTTTCCTGCATTGCTTTACAGTAACTTTCATTTAGTAAATATGTCGAAGAATAAATGTTTAGCACCATTAGCCCACAAAATACAAGCTAGAGAATGCACTTTAAGTCGCTATTAATAAAAGACTTATGTGTGAGAGAGAAAGAAATAACACTTCAAGGATTATGCAGGTTTTTCAGATTTCTTTATAGGATTAATCTTATAGACACTATCAATATATATACTATCACCATTAGATATATGACACATGTGTAAAATTTATTTATCTAATCGTGATAGTGTATATATTAACAGTATAATATAAAATTTACTCTTCTTTATAACTCCAATCTTTTATTGCGTTAGTACATAATGCATCTAGCACTAAATCATGATTTTCAAGAGGATCTGCACACATAGGCATGGCATATTCCCAATATACTTATTCAATTTTAGCAACAGCAGAGGGCCTACAGGCAAAACTTTTCAACTATGCTTTCTTGACAGGTAACCTTTTACACATTCGGTAATGACGAAACTCCTACTTTACTTTCTGTTGAAACTAGAGAGCTAATCTCAAGGCCTGGACCTTAAGTCATGTTACAATAAATAAAATCAATATGGACCATGAAGAGTCGTCTGATTTCAATAATGACTATTAAACATTGTAGAGCTCTCAAAGTATGTCGACTACAACATGCTCTGTGTAAGTAAAATTTAGTCATTATTCTTGCATGTGAGAGTTTAAGGAGACAAAGTAGGAATTTTGGATCCAATTTATTACAAAATACAAAAAAGAGGATTTAATCCGGTTGCGACTCTAATTTGACATGATAGCCAGTTCCTCAAATACCAATAAGTGTACTGTACTTCAAAAGGACTGAGGATTTGTAATGAGGGACAGCACAAAGAAATGCTTTTGTTCTGCACAAGTTTGCAGAGAGGAAGAAATTCTGATGCTCAGTGAGTAATGAAGTTCCAAAGACCTGTGAGCACTTGCAGTCAACTTTTCCATGCCTTGCCTAAAATAAACTCTCAGTGGTTCATTATTATTTGTTTCAAGTAGTAACCATACATTGTGACAAAAGAGTTTGTTTCAAATTTACTGGATCAAGGGTCACAGTCTTCATTATGAAAATAATTAGGTATTCCTGTTAGTAAATTGGAAAAATATTGTTGTGCTGTATATGCAAGTGCACAAATTTTAATTCTGTCAACTGTATAGAACATAAACTCATCATGGTAGCCAATAGAACTTGATTGTGTACTAAGTGATGCTTCTTGACACAAATTCATGGTACCAAAATACTGCATCTTCCTCTATATTCACCTTGTGTACATGTGATCAGGGTCCAAACTCAATATTTGTGCATTGACTGGCAGTGAAAGTAAAATTGAGCAGACCTTGACACCAATTTGTCTCTATGTATTGCCCTAATAGAAATGAATCTGACCAGCTGGTCGGAAAACACCAGTGAACAGCAATAAACAGAAGCAACCAATCTTCTCAGCTCATGCTTTTAAGTTTAAAACTGTAAAGTTGCATTAGTATGAAGATTATATAATCAAGTTCACACCAATCAAGGGTCATTTGTATCATCATTTTAATTTTTTTTCCTTCTATCAGGTCAATTCCACACTAAACAAGGATTATTTGTTGATATCATAAATTAATGTATTTAGAAAGAAAGGAAAAAAGTAGAGAAAGAGAAGAAGAGAAACATCATCTGGAGTAACTGACAACAAATCAAGGAGAAAAAATAGCACAAAAGTGGGAATTTTGCTTCTACCGCAGTAGATAACAGTAATTTTATTAGAGTTCTCAGCTAAATTTTGCTATCAGTGATCTGGATTCTGCCCATTTCAAGTTTCATTCTTCTGGCTTCAGCTCAAAGATTTTCTATGATTTCCAGAAGCACTTTCTTAGAACTCCCACCAACTTCGTAGGCCTTCCTAGTTTCTTCCTTCACCTTCTTTGCCTTTATCCTCAATGTTTTATCCTGCATCAACTGGACAATTTGATCCCCAATCTCCTCTCCCTTCACTAGGTGCTCCCCCAGCCAACCACAGTGCCTCATCCATACTCCAAGGCCTGCCTTCTCTGTCACTTCTGCGTTCAACTTTTGGTCTCCATTTAGAGGCCAAGCCAGTATAGGCACCCCAAATCGAGCTGCTTCAGTTACAGAATTCCACCCACAATGGCTTACAAATCCTCCGATTGCTGGATGCGCTAAAACTTGCTCTTGCTCCACCCATCCTTTACAAACTAGCCCCTTCTTCTTTGTTCTTTCAAGAAATGAACTGCCAAGCAAATCTTGCAGATCTTCCCTCTCGTCTTTGTCAACTTTGGTAGTCTTTATTACCCAAAGAAATCTGCCTCCACTTCTCTCCAGTCCATTTCCTAGTTCTCTTATTTGTTCCTTTGACAATGCTGTTCTGCTTCCAAAGCTAACATAGACTACAGACTCATTTGGTTGTCCATCTAGCCACTGCAGATAAGAGCCAGCTTTCACGACAGCCTTACAAGGCTCGTATGGTCCTATGGGGAGAAAAGGCGGTAAATGAGCCAGTACCCTGCCAGTATTTACCTGTGTTTTTAAACTCGGACCGGATCGGCCGGTCCGACCGGTTGAACCGGGAACCGGCCAAGTGTCCGGTCCGAGCTATCTTTAAAACTCGGATTGGTCAAGACTCGGTCAAATTCGGTTTTGACCGGGTTTGACCGAAAACCTGAAGAACCCGTGCGAACCGGGTTTTCTTATTCTCCATTTTTAAATTCTTTTTTACCCTTCCTGACCTCTTAACTCCAAATCCTTGTGAGCTCTCCCTCCTCTGCAAATCCATTTTCACTCTTTGACTTCAATTCAAGCATGAAAAATCAATGTTTTACCTCTTTTTTAAAATAAGATATAATCTTAGATCTTGTATTCAAAAGAAAAAAAAGACCCCAAAAATGCAAAAAAGAGCATGGAGAAGACAACATTTTGCAGAAATCAGATAAAAGCATGATATTTCATGGGTTTGAGAACAAATAACTAATAAAATAAGAATGAAAATGAAATAAAAAAAAGAAGAAGAAGAAGAAAGGAGTTGCAGAATGGCGTGGAAGATAAAGAAAGGAGTTGCAGGAAGATGAAATGACCAATGGAATGCATCAACCGTCAGGAGTAGAGGAAGAAATGAGAGGTGTGGCGTGGGGTCAAACTTCAAAGCACTTTCATCTGATATAGGATCAAAATATTTTCAATATTATGTTTTGACCCTTAAGTTGTTAAAAATTATTAATATACCTCAAATATTTCATACTTTATAAATATTGTCCTAAAGTTTGGTGTTATTTTTTAATCAAGTCTATAATTTTAATTCTAAACTTGTTAATATTCATTAAATAATATAAATTGCTCCTTGATTATTCTAATTTCTTTGTATTTTATTGTTAAATACATTTGAAACATTAAATATATATGAATATACCTTTGTTAATATTAACATGATCTTAGGTATTTTAAATATAATATTTTAATTTCTAAATGATTTTTATTTATGACGTCATCCGATTTAACCCCGGTCGAACCCGGTCGAACCCATTGACCTCTGACCCCTGACCCTGACCGAGTCGATACCCGGCCCGAGTCTGAAAACATAGGTATTTACTGCAGCAATTGATTTAGACTCAAACCAATCAAAGCTATTAAGTAGAATACCCTTGGCTTTCGAGAGAAATTGAGCATTTAAACGGATGTGAGCTGTGAAAATATGATCTGGAGTAATGAAGGGAGGAGTAAGGTTTGAAATTGGCACCGAAGCTAAACCCGGAAGCTGAATGCTAGAGTCTTCCAAACTTTTGCTTTCGAGTATCAAGTCAGGAAGACAAGCCATAAGCGAAAAAAATCTAGCTGAAGTGGTGGATACAATGTAAAAGGGGATAGATAATTCATCAGCTAGACGATTGATATCGGCTGCAACAGCAAAGTCAGCGAAGATGGCTGATAGAGGCGGAGTACATAAGGAAGCCAAGAGAGGATGCAGGAGATGAACTGAGCTACTAATACCTAGAAATCGAGCAAGGAAAGGATCAGGTTTTTCAGCGTCTGCAAATTTGGATGGACTGCTGGGAATTGGGAGATGAAAATCAAGCCATGGCTACTACACTATTATATGATACATACAATGAATTTATTATTTGAAAGTCATGATACATTACATACAGCACATTTATTATTTAAAGGCCATGATACTATACACACAATATATTTATTATTTGAAAATCAATGACAAAGTGGGCACACAATACTTATATAAGTTCCACACTTATAGTATTAACCATGTTAAGATCTCCATTCATATCTGATAGCCCAATCCACCAGTTCAGTCAAGACTGTGGTAACTAGACCACATTATTCGATCAACTTGATGGTTCCCACCGTTGAAGCAGCAATTGCTGACCAAAGAATTGTGGTTCGTCCCACATCGGAGGAAAGCTAAGGATGCTTTCCATTTTGCGCCTATAAATATAGGCCTCATATGTTGAAGTTAATTGCACCACTCAAGAGAGTTATATGGGCTATTAGTTTCTTGAGTCATCTAACCCATTCAGTTAAATATTTTAGGCTCTCTTGTTTTGAGTTTAGGAATATTTTCTAAACTCTTTTGTAAGTGCCTATTGGCCTAGGAACCACTTTCCTACGGCTTTTGTATTTCTTCTTCATAGTAGAAATATTGCTCCTCCCTCGCCCGTGGACGTAGGTCAATTTGACCGAACCACGTAAATCTTTTGTGTCTTTTATTTGCTTTGTTATCCGTCTTTATATGGTCGGTTTTACCGCCTAATTATTATATGGCCGGTATCTACCGCCTATCTATTATATGGTCGGTTATACCGCCTAATTTGTGCTAACTTGAGTTTGTCTATTTCCTGGCCCGGTCCTAACAAACTGGTATCAGAGCTGGTTGTTATATTTTGCAAGACAGGTTCATCTGGTGGGGTCCGTTCATCTGGTGGGGCCCGTCCATCCTGTGGGGCCCACTCATCCTGTGGGGCCCGTTTATCCGTGGGGCCCGCTCACCTTGTGGGGTCTGTTCATCCCCGTGGGGACCGCTTATCTCGTGTGGTCCGCTCACCCTGTGGGGCCCGTTCACGAGACTTGCATATTTGTTTGGCCAGTTTTTTGAGACAAACTTCAGGTTACAGATTTTGTGGCAACAATGACGATAACAAAGACGGTTGTCGAGAAATTCGACAGGAATGTCAATTTCGGCATGTGGCAGCTCAAGATGGAGGCCATTCTTGTTCAAGACGGAGTTGACTTGGCAATTCAAGGAATTGAGAAAAAGCCAGAAGATGTGACAGATGCAAATTTTGCTGAGATGGATAAGAAGGCAAGATCCAGCATAATCCTAAATCTCTCCGATGAGGTATTGCGTGAGGTAGCAACGGAGACTTCGGCCAAGGCTATGTGGGATAAATTGAAAGCCTTGTATATGAAGAAGACAGTCGAGAATCGGCTATATTTGAAGCAGAGTTTGTACATGCTTCGGATGTCTGAAGGTACATCTATACTCTCCCATCTTGATAAATTTGATTCCATTATTATGGATTTGGAGAATATAGATTCGAAAATTGATGATGAAGATCAAGCCCTATTACTTTTGTGTTCCCTTCCCCAATCCTTTAAGCATTTCCGTGATACTATGATATATGGAAAGGAAACAATTTCGTATCGGGAAATTAAATCTGCATTAAAATCTAAAGAGCAGATAGATAGGGATATTACTGGGGAAACTAGTGGGAGTCAAGCCGATGGCTTGTTTGTTCGGGGTAGATCTGAAAGGAGAAACATAAAAAATAGAAGTAGATCTAAGTCCAGACATAAAAATGTGGTGTGCAACTATTGTAAAAAGAAGGGCCATATTATCTCTGATTGCTTTAAATTGAAAAATAAAGAAAAGCAAAAAGGGAAATTTGTTGAGAAAAATATAGAAACCACCGAGGCTAGTATTGCCGTTGATGAGAATGATGGAACCATTTTCTGTGCAACAGAAAATAATTTTAGGTCTAACAATGAGTGGATTTTAGATTCGGGTTGTTCATATCATATGTGTCCCAATAAGGACTGGTTTTCAACATATGAATCAACTGAAGGTGGAGTTGTCTTAATGGGCAACAACGCTGTTTGTAAAGTTGTTGGCAAAGGTACAATCCGGATTAAAATGTACGATGGTATTGTGAGGACGCTCACAAATGTTAGACATGTTCCAGATTTGAAGAAAAATCTCATCTCTTTGGGCACTCTTGAGTCTATCGGGTGCAGGTATTCAGGTGGAGATGGAGTTCTCAAAATCACTCGAGGAGCTCTTGTTGTTATGAAGGCACACAGATCTGGTACTTTGTATATTTTGCAGGGATCTACTGTGACAGGTGCTGCTGCTGTTTCAACATCATCTTTGTCAGATACTGACATCACCAAATTATGGCATATGCGTTTGGGGCACATGAGCGAAAAAGGCTTGGGCATACTGAGCAAAAGAGGACTTCTTTGTGGACAAAATACCGGTCCATTGGAATTCTGTGAACATTGTATTTTTTGGAAGCAGAAAAGAGTCGGCTTCAGTTCACCAGCAATTCACAAGACAAAAGGTACTCTTGATTACATTCATTCAGATCTATGGGGTCCTTCTCGTGCTCCTTCTAAAGGTGGTGCCAGGTACATGTTGACTTTCATTGATGACTATTCAAGGAAAGTTTGGGTCTATTTTCTTAAGCATAAAAATGATGTTTTCCTAACTTTCAAGCAATGGAAAGTTTTAATTGAGAAACAAACAGGAAAACATGTTAAGCGGTTGAGAACAGATAATGGCATGGAATTTTGTGAAGGTGAATTTAATGAATTTTGTAAGAATGAAGGAATTGCTCGGCATCACACCGTCAGGATGACGCCTCAACAAAATGGTGTGGCCGAACGTATGAACAGAACGCTTTTGGAGAGAGCAAGATGTATGATCTCCAATGCAGGGTTGACAAACGACTTTTGGGCAGAGGCGATCAATATGGCCTGTTATATTGTCAACCGTTCTCCTTCTGCATCTCTTGATTTCAAAACTCCTGAGGAAGTTTGGTCAGGTACTCCTGCTGATTACTCCAATTTAAAAGTTTTTGGGTGTCCAGCATACATGCACGTGAATGATGGAAAATTGGAGCCTAGGGCTAAAAAGTGCATTTTTCTTGGGTATGCTTCTGGGGTGAAAGGATACAGATTATGGTATCCTGATCCCAAATCCCCAAAATTTGTAATCAGTAGAGATGTTACTTTTGATGAATTGTCTATGTTATCTTCCAAGAAGGAGTCTTCTAGTCCTTGTACTATTGATAGTACACAGAAGCAAGTGGAGCTTGATATTGGCAGTTCTGGTCCTTCTCAATCCAAATCTTCTATTCAGCAAGTGCCAGTAGATGCACCTGAATCTACTGTTGAAGATAGTTCAGAAGAAGATGAGTATTCCATAGCCAGAGATAGAGCAAGGAGAGAAATTCGACCACCACAAAGATATGCAAATTTAGTTGCATATGCTTTGTCTGTTGCAGAAGAAACTGATGCAGTTGGTGAGCCTTCCACCTATTTAGAAGCAGTTTCTTGTGATGATTCTGCAAAGTGGTTGATTGCGATGAATGAAGAAATTGAATCTCTTCATCAGAATGAAACTTGGGTTCTTGTAAAGCCGCCGTCAGCTAAGAAAATTGTTGGTTGCAAGTGGGTCTTCAAGAAAAAGAAAGGTATTCCAGGGGTTGAAAATGCAAGGTATAAAGCACGATTAGTTGCAAAGGGCTATAGTCAGGTACAAGGTGTTGATTTTAATGATATATTCTCACCTGTTGTTAAACATAGCTCTATTCGTGTTTTGCTTGCTTTAGTTGCCATGTATAATTTGGAGTTAGAACAGCTCGACGTTAAGACAGCTTTCTTACATGGCGAACTTGAAGAACAAATTTATATGAGACAACCCCAGGGTTTTGAAATTGAAGGTAAGGAAGACCATGTTTGCTTGTTGAAGAAATCCTTATATGGATTGAAGCAGTCTCCAAAACAATGGTATAAAAGGTTTGATTCCTTTATGTTGGGTCATGGTTATTCAAGGAGCATGTATGATAGTTGTGTTTACTTCCGGAAGTTAAATGATGGTTCTTTCATTTACTTATTGTTATATGTTGATGACATGCTCATTGCTGCCAAGAATTTGTCAGAAATTCACACCTTAAAACTGCAGTTAAATAGTGAATTTGAAATGAAAGATTTGGGAGCAGCTAAGAAAATTCTTGGCATGGATATCAATCGAGATCGAGGAGTAGGAAAGTTATTTTTGACCCAAAAAAATTACCTTGAGAAAGTCTTGGAGCGTTTTGGCATGAAAGATGCTAAACCAGTATCTACTCCTCTTGCTAGCCATTTTCGGCTATCTGCTGCTCAATCACCAAAATCAGATGAAGAGGAAGATTATATGGCACGGGTTCCTTATTCCAGTGCAGTCGGCAGTATTATGTATGCAATGGTTTGTACTCGTCCAGATATTGCACAAGCAGTCAGTGTTGTTAGCAGATATATGTCTTGCCCTGGTAAAACACATTGGCAGGCTGTGAAGTGGATTCTCAGATACTTGCGAGGTACTTCAAATGCATGTTTGGAGTTTGGAAGAAATAATAATACTTTGGTTGGTTTTGTAGACTCAGACTACGCTGGAGATCTTGACAGGAGAAGATCACTTTCAGGCTATGTATTTTGCATTGGCGGTTGTGTTGTTAGTTGGAAAGCTACTCTACAACCTGTCGTAGCTTTGTCTACTACAGAAGCAGAATATATGGCTGTGATCGAGGCAATCAAAGAAGCCTTGTGATTAAAAAGTTTATTTAGCGAGCTAAGTCTATATCAAGGTGTTACTGATATTCACTGTGATAGTCAAAGTGCCATACACTTGACTAAAGATCAGATGTATCATGAGAGGACGAAACACATTGATGTGAAATATCACTTCATTCGGGATATCATTGCTGAAGGAAAGGTCCTTGTTCAGAAAATCAATACCAAGGACAATCCAGCCGATATGTTTACGAAACCTCTTCCAGTTTACAAGTTCAAACAGTGTTTGGACTTGATTGGTGTTCGTTTGTGATTTAAACCCATTGGGGCTTATATGAAGAAGGTGGAGCAAGTTTATAATCTCTC